ATTATATTCGATGAGTTACAATCTTCAAAGATGAGATATCAAAGCTGAATTATTTCAGCTTTTCAGCAAAAAATTTAAAGTTTTATATTCTATGAAATTCTTTAAACAAACATATCTCATTCGTTTTAAGTCGGATTGACATGCGATTTTTTCCAACGTGTAATTTAGAGTTTGTAGATGATTTTAGACTAGACAAAACTTCAAAAATGGTCCCTGTGGTTTTCAAAAATATCAAGTTTAGTCCCTAAGTTTAAAAAACCTCACAGATGGTCCCTATGGTTTCAAAATTTTTAACAAATGGTCATTTTCGCTAACTCCGTTAACTTTTGGTCATTAAATGAAGGGCATTTCTGTCTTTTCACTACCACAGGGACCATTTATGAAGTTTTGCCCTTATTTAAAATAATAATAATAATAATAATAATAATAATTTAATATTAAAGGTCCCTCTCTTTCTCTCTCTCTCTAATGCCCCATCGTTACCACCACAACATCATTTATTTCTTTTTTATGAACCCTAAAAATACCACTGCCACCTCCATACTCTAATCACATTCTCAGCCCACTGTCACCGGTGATATCCTTGGCCGGAACCACCCAATTGGGGCCTCTCGTCTCCGCCACCCCTGCACATTTGGATTCCAGACAACAGCCAAATCGCAACCGCTCATCTCCTCCACCCCTATGTCCCTCTCTCGTCTCTTTCTACCTTCTAAGAGTTAACGATGGCGAGGGTCAGTGGTAACAGACGAATGATGGGGTTTCAGATAGAAAAAATCTGAGCAGATCCGAGTAAATGTAGAGGAAGGGAGAAGTGGCACCGAGGATCGATAGTAGCAGAGTGAAGATCGGCAGCAGACTGCAAATCGGCGGCAATGGATTAGGGGAAAAACAAACCTGCAAATCAGTTTTCGGTTAAAGAAGGGAAAATCGGAAACGGGTATTTAACCAGGTTCGATGGTAGTATTTGGTCGGCGACGTGGAAGACCCATCATTGACGGTAAGAACATCTGCACCATTGTTCGATTTATGGAGGTTAAAACCGAGTCAGATTGGTCTTCCATCGATTTGAAGGGTCTCAAACCTCAATTTGTTGGTTTACGTGTCTCTACAATCAGCCAGAGGAATGGTGTATCTAGTACCAGCATCTGATAATCGATTTTCTCATATGATAATCGATTTACTCGTTTTTCAAATTCTTTGTTGATATTCTTGATTAAATCGATTTTGTGAGTCATAGTTCATGTATTGATTAACAAAATGGAAATTTTCAAATACAGGATGGATATGATTTCAGAAGTGTATATTATCGATGAAGTAAGAGATGAGTTTGGATGATGATTGATATGAATCTGTTTATTTGGATAAATTAAAGATATTATGATTGCGTAATTGATAATTGATCAAGATGAATTTAGACCCAGATGTTGGTTTGAAATCAATATACCGACATGATAGTATCCGTGATCAAAAATTGGATTGAAAGTCTGAATCAACGATACTGTTGCTATTGTCAAATTAAAAGTCAAAATTAACTTCAGTATTTTTATTTAGGTTTGTTGTGAAAGAAAAAAGGATTTTGATTCAAAATTGACTTCAATATTTGCGTTTGTTCATGTGTTCATATAAATCTAAAACAATGGTGTAATCGGGGAGAGAGAGAGAGAGAGAGAGAGAGAGAGAGAGAGAGAGAGAGAGAGA